CCCCAAAACCCCAAAACCCCAAAACCCCAAAACCCCGGAGGTGTTGGAGTGGGTTGAATAGTGAGGGAGAACACTAAATTAAATAAAATGAAGGATAGGTAAGCTTTATCTCAGTTGGGGATGGAAGAACTGCAAAAGAATCAAGAACGCTTTGTTAAATAGTTAAAATCAAAGGTATTTAATTTTTTTTTGGAGATGAGTTTTATTTCTTTATGAAAGAAATCATTAGGCTATTAGAGTTCCCTAATCTGCCATTTTATGTTTGGAACACTCTTTCATATTTCGATATTTGGGGTGGTTTAATGAGCTTCTTCTTTCCCAACAGAGATATCCTTGCTATATTTATTATTAGCAAGAAAAATTGGCATATACGCTCCTTCTGTAGAGCTCCAGCCTTAATTCATAATTTTTGCGAAATGGTGAAATTGTCCGATCAAAGACCAGTTTAACAGTTTGGTGAATAGAAAACCATTAGACGATTCTCATAAAAATTTAATATCAATGAATCCTTTGAGCATCTTGATATCTTTAAACTTGAGTAACTTTAGAAATAACTTGGGTAGTCTAAAGATGACCTTAAAGTGATCTGTTGGTCTCTTTTCCCTTCCCGTCTAAAGTTAACCATAACTAAACTATCTCTCTTAATTATAAAACTTGGATTTTGACAAGTTAAGAACTCAAAATATCAAAGTATCACTTGAGGCCTTGTTTTTGCCAAACAAAGATTTATATATGGCCATCCTCTTCCCAGGCTGATTATCAGAGGTGATCCTCCTCCCAAAATCTTCATAGAAAATTCAGTCATAGTATCAAAAGGAGTCGTAGAAATTACAGTTTTAAGAATATCAGAGGGTAGGTTAAGTACATTATAAAAGAAGCATGGACAGCAAATAGTTGCACTTTTAAGAGGGCTAACCTTCATTTTATTGCTTACAGCAAGACTGGCACCTCATAAAAGTCTCTTATGAAAGTTTACTTATTTTTGGGTTTACTTGAAATAAAATTATTTCTATGCCACTTGCAAACATTTGCCGAAGAGAGTCTATTTTTATAAAATTGACTATAAAGATACCAGAAAATATTTGGATAAGAAGGTAAATCTGATGAGAAGGCTTAGTGTCAAGAAAGCATTCAGGCTCCAAAAATATGTATCTTTTTGGAAAAATAAATTCTTATAGTCTCTTTGAAAATTAATATTTCAATAAATGCTCATGAAATAATTTTTCATAAAGACCGTCATACCTTCATTTCCATTTTTAGCAAAAAATTCTTTGATGGAACCATTTATCTAGTCAAAGTAGGATGATAAATAAAATTTAAAGATGAATGAATCAAAGTGACTTGTAATGTTATTATTATTCTTTAGTTCTCTCTGGGAATTAGAGGCTTACTCTTAAATACTTTAAAGTAAGCTCAGTCCAAGTTATTTCATGGCTAAACTTAACTTAATGTAAACCTCCTATAAGCTTCTAGAAGAAGATGCTCATTTTACTTATAAGCTTTAAAAAATTCTAAGACTATTAATAATATCCCTAAAACTAGCATTTAATGTTTCTGAATGTTGATCTCTTGTTAGTCCTCTTAAGAGAAAGTTCTTTTCAGAGTTTATTAACCAGTTATTTCTTGCTGTAGACAGACCAAATAAAATTTTCATATTAAAGTACTTAAATTCTTTATAATGAGGCATCCAAACTCCCAGATGGCTTAGAAATAGGAGACAAGCTTAAAATTATTGGATGATGAAATACTATGAATATTTTAACAAAGCTTGTGCTACATTTAGCGGTTGAGATCATCCTTCATTAATTCATAAACCTAAATATTATTAAAAACTCTAATGAACTTATCCAAACTCTGCTCATCCTTAGAGATACTATTAATGGAGCATTAAGAGGAGCTCTAGGTTGGCAGAATTCCCTCCATTGATGATCCCAAACCAATGGAGCCCATTTATGTTATCTCTTAAACAGTTTAATTCAGAAATTCATATTTGCATATGCATTTGCCTGTTGGTGGAAATTTCTGAAGAATATTTCCTAATTATTCAACCAATCTTCAAAGTAGAGAGCCACCCAAATAAAGCAAGATATACATAAACTAAGCTTGAGAAGTAGGAGAGAGGACTTGCTGCCGACACAAGAAGAAGAAAGATTTTTGTGAATTAGTAGACAATTATAAGTTTACTGTAACTTTATTAGGAGACTACTTAGTTTGCTCTGAGCCAAGTTCTTCTCTTAAAGCATCCATCTTTGGGTCTTCACAATTCTCAACAAGGTAGCCTCATAGCACTTTCAAACTCTTTGATTGCATTGCCTTTGTAAGTCTTTTCTGGGAGAACTTCTTGCAGCAGAGCTGGAAATCACTGATTTCATCTTTGACACTTTGGTTACAGCTCAATCTCTGAATTGTGCGAAGGTTGAGGATCCCCATTGTGTAGTAAATTAAGTCTTCAGTGATTTCTAATTGAGGAAATAATTCAGCGAGAAGAGCCTCCATTCAGAGTGAGATTTCGTTGGCTCTGCAGTTGATGTATCTCTTCCTGACAATCTTAGCGTTCTGGGATTTAAAGATGTCTCTGAAATATTTTCTGACCATCCTCAACAGAGGCTTCAGACGCACATCTTTTCTGACTGGCTTTAGTTTATGGCAGCTCTGATTGTCTGAGAGAGTAGGAGGGGAAAATATCAGAATCTTATTATTTGAGTCTTTATCTTGGACTCAATCTTCATTTTGTTTGCAGGCTTGGCTATCTGAAAATACAATTATTAACTGTTTTTGAGTGCGATGCTTTTTTATGACAAACTAGGGTTAATTTTCAATCAATTGTTTCACAAAGGTTTAATTAAAAATTTAGCATGGTAAAGTAAAAGTATCTTCGCTAGTTCTGAAAAATTAATTAGTTAAAGAATTTAAAGTTCTTTCTATGCACCTATATGGGCCAAGCCTTCATCTTAAGAGTGAATTGCCCTGTTCAATCTTATTCCCAAACAAAAAGATTCGATTGGTTCCAGATATGAAAGTTGCTTACCTATCTGTTGCTCTTGAATGTGCAAGTGATTTGGTTTTCTGATCTCCGAGAACAAAGAGTTGTCTAAATAATTGCTTATCAAGTCACTCTGAGACACTTGCTCCTCTCCTAGATTGTGTTGAAGACAGAGTTCTTGGTGTTTTTGAATGGAAGAACTCCAGCCGAAATGGTTTCAATCTGAATCCTAAATAAAGAAGGTCACATTGAGTCTTAGTGAACAAGAGAACACTGAATTAATCTGGGTGATCTCTAGATATACAAATACATTGACTAGCAAAGTATAATAAACGATTTACCTTTGAAAGTAGAGTACCAACGCTATTTGCAAACACATTTTCTGGATACAAATAGTTAGGATCGTTGATGTCGGTAATCTGTGGAAATAATGAAACGTTGTTCATAATATATTATTCTTTATTATTATATTGGTCAACCTCATATCTCTTTTATGGGGTTTTGGGGTTTTGGGGTTTTGGGGTTTTGGGG